AATCTATAATAGTTTGAACTTTCTTAGGATCTATCATAAGTCCATCATTTGAAATGATGTAACCTAAGAAATCGACTTGAGTAGTGTCGAATACACACTTTTCTATCTTGGCATAGAGTCCTGCATCTCTTAATTTTTGTAACACACGATGAACATGAAGTTCATATTCTTATAGATTCTTAGAATAGAACAAGATGTCGTCTAGATAACATACCACAAAATCATCCAAAAACTCTGGAAAAACATCATTCATTAGATGTTGAAAAGCTGTTGGTGTATTTGTAAGTCCAAAAGGCATGACGTTGTATTCAAAATGTCCATACCTAGTTCAAAACGTAGTCTTCCATTCATCTCCTTCTTTGATGCGTACTAGATTGTATACTCCCCGAAGATCTATTTTTGTATAGATTTTAGCTTCATTCAACTAATCAAGAAGTCCAGATATTAAAGGTAGTGGATACCTGTTCTTGATGGTAAGCTTGTTGAGTCCTCGATAATCAACACACATCCACAATGATCCATCTTTTTTCTTCACAAATAGAATTGGAGCTCCTGTCGGAGATTTAGAATGGCGTATGAAATTCTTGGTTAGATTTTCTTCAATATACTCCTTGAGTTCAATCAACTCATTTTGTGATAAATTGTAGATTGGTCCGAATGGCGGTTGTGCTCCTTCTTGAAGGTCAATTGAGCAATCATAGGGACGATGTTCCGGAAATATATCCGCATTCTTTTTTTTGAATATATCTTGAAATTCTTGATATTGGCTTGGAATGCCACTTGAAGTCTTTTCACCAGTAGGAACAAGTGTGACATAAATAATATATGGTGATTCTTTCATAGCAGCATGCAAGAAAGCTTTTGCACCTATAAATACGAGTTTAATTGAATTGGACTTATGACTCTCTACTTGATTAACTACATTGTTAGCTATACTTTTAAAGAAAATAAGATTTCGAGAAATCCAATCTATTTGAGGGTTGTATTTTTCTAACCATGATAAACCTAAAATGACTGGATTAGAGGAAGATCTAATGATATTAAATACTACAAAACTATTATGACTATTGATTATTACTTTTATAGGAAGGGTTTCGTGAGTAATATCTCCAGAAGACAATGGACGACCATCTATGACTTCTACATGAACAGATTTAGTTTTCTTTACTAAAGATATGCTATGTCTTTTAGTAAATTCTTCATCTAAAAAACACGTTGAGGCTCGTGAATCTAACAAGGCAGAGACTTTGTAATGTTTAGGTTCTAAAATAATATTTAATGTAAAACAAGGAGAGGGCTCTGAGGAGAGAATAGGACCTTTACTAGATGTTGTGCAAGGTTCCAGCCGCACGGTCCCTATTGTAGCTGGACAAATTCGTTTTTTGACATATTGTCTTCTTTCATAGCCATACTCCTCATTTTGTGATTGCATCATTTCTTTGGACAATGTTGAGCAATGTGCTTTGGTTCTCTACAATATAAACATAATCCTTCTTGACAACGACGAGTCTTTTCTTGCTCAGTAAGAGGTTTGAAACGTAATGCATCAATTTACATATTCCTACTTTCGAATGTATGTGTTGAAGAGGTGTTGGTGTTGCCATTGAATTATAGTAACATTGAGGTCCACTTGTACGGTTCTCAGATCGAAATTCAAAAAAACGATTGTCATACTTCACAACAAAGTCAATTGCTTGACTTAATGTTTGAGGATCAGGTAAGTTGAGCATTAATTTTTTTACCTCATATTGTAATCCATAGAGAAATTGGCTAATAAGTGCAGCATCATCC